CACTGTAGCCTGACAGGGCAGAAGAACTCAGCTGAAGGGTCTGATCACTTGGGCTGAGACCTCCTTCCACTACCAAGGCAAAATGTGGCCTTGAGCAAGACCTTTCTCCTCTCTGGAATGTGGTTCCTCTGTGGGGAGGCGGGGCTCGCTACTGACGACCCCCTTTCTCTTATGCTGCAGATCTGTGTGTGTGCATATCACGGCCGTTCCCGGCTACTGTTACAGTGAACTGAGCAGCATGATCAGATGTCATCGTCACCACAAGCATTCAGAGTAGGCTTGGTTATGGTTCCTACTTTATGGGTGAATAAATAGGCAGGAAGAGAGTAAATTAGTTGCTCAAGTGCACATAGCAAGTAACTAACAGAGCCTGGATTTGACTTCAAAGTATGTGCAATTAATGGTTCTTCTGAATCTGGAGGTTAACAAACTTTCCTCGCACCAGGCCTAGGAGACATTCAGTCCACAAATACATATTGAGGGCTGATCATGGAGCAGCCCCAAACCCACAGCAGAACCTACACCCCAAACCTCAAAGGTCAGTCCTGTCATTATTCCATTTTAGAGGAGAGGGAACTGAGGCTCAGAATGATGAAGGAGCTCCCTGAGCTTACCCAGTAAGTAATTGGCAGGCAAGGCTTCAAGTCTAGCTCTTCCTGGCCCCAGAGCCCCTGGACTTGAACTCCACAGAAACTGAATCTTGAAGGCAGGGAGCACCATGGAAGGTTTTCATGAGAAGGTGTAACGTGTTTATACTAGGAATATCTTCCCCCTTCCTACTCCCCCTTCCTCCCCACCCTGCTTTTCAAGGCTTTGTTTTGCCCCCTAATCCCCAGCACTGGGAGCCTCCAGTGGCTTCTTGTCCTCATTGACTCAACAATCCAATCACAGTCCATTTATTGGTGTCTGTAACTGGCCACTGGAAGTAAGGGAGGCAATAGTCCTGCCTTCAGCTGATCACCATCTAGTGGTAAAAGCAACAAAGTGAGGAACTGGGGAAGAGGGACAACCGAATGGAGAGGCCTGGGTTCATCCAGAACCAAGGGCATAGACCAAAAGCATGTGGTGGAGTGAGGCACGAAAGGGGAGGTTGGTCAGAAGCCTGTGAGGCAGATATGGGGGTCTGCAGAGGGAAGCAACCCACTGTTCAGCCTGGGGCTGGCAGTCCTCCTCCTGGCACCACCCCTCCTCCACATTCTGTGGAGCAGGCAGGAAACCAGGGTCTGGGCCAGGGTGGTTTCTAATCCTAGCCATCAGTTTCCCTGGGCTAAGTGGGTGTCAGGCCTGGTCAGAGGGTGGGCAGTCCTGAAGGAAGCCATCAGCCCCAGCCATCCCCCTCAATAAACACCCAGTCCAGGGAAAAGCAATGGGACCAATGAGCAAATGGAGCCTCAAGGCCAGTCCCTGACTCCTAGTTGACTCAGCTGTCCCCAGGATACCCCACTCCCACCGCCGGCACAAGAACCCAGAAACATCCTGTCCCCCATCCAGCAACCCTCTGGACCCCTCCTTTAGGATCTAGGTGAGCTAAAGAAGCTGAAAGCACCTTCTCCTCAAGAAAAAGGTCGGAGGCCCAGCCCACCCCTCTGCCACCACTCCCTTAGCCTCTGATGGCCCCAGGGCCCCCAGGAGCTCCGCTCTGCGCTGGGTGTGGCAGGGCAAGCTGTCTCCAGAGCTCATGGGGGGGTGGGGGGGGAGGGGAGGAGAAGGAGCTACTGGAATCTCAAGGAATCTGACCAGTTCCCTCCTGCCTGCAGGTATTGTGGCCCTGGGCGGAGCTGCTGGGTTTAAAGAGCCGGAACCCACCTGGGCTGAACACAGCCCCAGCAGCCTCTCTAGATCTGCACCCGGCTCTCAGGTGAGCAAGTGTCTGCTAGGACTTCAGGGCTGCTAAGCGGAAGGGTGGGGGAAGAAGGGTGAGGGTGGAGGGGGAACCAGTCTGAGGAAGGGGTGGTGGGTGCCCAGGTATTCTCAGTAACAGGGTGCATGTTTGAGGGTTTTGAGGATTGGAGGCCGTTTGCTCTGTGACCTCTGTCATATAGGCAGTGGGATGGGGGGGCGGGTAGGAAACAGGAGCCCGCCTTTGGAGTTGCAACCCTCATGACTCAGGAATCGCAGGGTTGTGAGAGGGGATGAGTGCAAAGGAGGGCCAGCTTCCAAGACTGCTGCAAGCTGACCAACTCCCACATTCAGAAGCTGCGCATTACTAGTCCCTCCCGTCTAGGGCAAAAGGACCCGTGTATGTATGTATGTATGTATCTATCAACTTGGCTTTATTGAGCGATGCATGAATCAGGCAGCATCCCTAGCAAGTAGAGAGGGCTATGTATTTATTTTTTTAAGATTTTATTTATTTATTTGACAGAGAGACAGCAATAGAGGGAGCACAAGCAGGGGGAGTGGGAGAGGGAGAAGCAGGCTTCCCGCCGAGCAGGGAGCCCAATGCGGGGCTCGATCCCAGGACCCCGGGATCAGGACCTGAGCCGAAGGCAGACGCTCAACGACTGAGCCACCCAGGCGCCCCTGTATTTATTTATTGTAACACAGTTCATTCCTTCCTATGTGCTAGGCGTTGTTCTTAGGCTTCACATATAGTAATTCATTTAATTCTCTCAGAACCTTACGCCGTTGCTATTAATTGCCCTCGTTTTGCAGGACCCCGAAGCACTGAGAGGTGACGTAACGCACTGAGTCACACAGCTGTTAGGTGGTTTTGAGGGGACTGGCGTTCCAGCCAGCTAGGCCCAGCAGGTAACAATGCGGGGTGCGGGGAGGGGGAGACTTCAGTTTGCCAGAGCTGACAGTCGCTAAGCTTGCCGGCAGCTAACAACATGCAGAAAGCTGGCAGGGGTCTTGCGTCAAGGAAACAGCCACCGTATAGGAACTAGTTCTTAGGGACCCGGATAGTTCCCGCCCTGAGGAGAAAGAAAGCAGCAATGTTCCTTCCGCCCACCGGGCAGTTTCCTGCTGTGGGATTTGGGGCCACCTTAGAGCAGGATTCCTGGCTGGGGCTGGGGTGGGAGGCCCTCACACGCTTTCACTACCACCTTTCCCCTCCTCAGCTGCTCAGCCCTGGGTATGCTCACCCTTTGCCGAGACTATCTTGGAATTCATCCTGATACCGCCCGAGGCCCAGACCTTTGGGAACAATAGCTCAGGGTGCCTCTTAGACTTTTGAGTGGGGGTAAGGAACCAAAGCCTGAGTTAGAACAGTAGCCCTGTTCCTCTGACCAATGGTCAGGCTTCTGATGAAAGACTTTAACAAATCACTTACTAGGTGCGAGCATTGTTCGAAGTACCTAACTAGTATTAACTCAATCCATGTCACTCCACGAGGCATTTACTATTATCATCTCTAGATGAGGATACAGAAATCAGTAACTTTCCCAAGACCACCTCATAAACCAAGTGCACCCTTGGGATTTGTGTCCTGGCTCTTTGCCCCAGGCACTGTGAACCGCAGGCAGGTCCTGGCTGTCTGACCCCAGCCCGCGCCCCTCCCCTGCAGCCCTCCTCTGCAGCTGTATCATGAAGAGAGTGACCCAAGCCCTTCTGCTCACACTGGCAGGTGAGTCCTCCCAGAAGTGAACCTGCTGCCACTCACCCTCCCCCCAAGGCAGTGAAAACCAGGGCAGCATCTCCCAAAGGGGGCCTGATGTTGAACAAATGTATTTTCATTTAAACTGTCAATTTAAAGAGTGACACTAGAGATAATAGTACAGGGAGGAAGTGGATATTGCAAAAGTTGTCCTAAATAATTGAACGTTTGAAAACAGTAACCATCTGTTGGCATAAAGAGAGAAGCATTCCCTATTCCCTGTCAGGGCATTAGCCAGGATCTGTGTAGGAAGCTTCTCAGAAGAGGGTAAAAAGATACCAACACACCATTCCATTTCAAATGCAAGAAAGACTAGCAGGAAGCCTGAGAAATGGCAGGAAGGGCTGGGGGGAAGTGGCAAAGGCTATGGGGTGAGAGACAAAAATCCCAGGGCTATTTAGGGATGGGGAAGGTGTGAGGGTCCCCCCCCCCCCCGCCCCGCCAACCTGCCCACCCAGGAGGCTGGTCTGGGCTGAAGACATGCCCCCTGATTCATTATGAGACCAGTGTCATGAATTAATACCCATTAATACCCGATCCCTCTGCTTTTCCCACCCAGGCCTGCCTGCCTTGGAAGCCAGTGACCTGGTTGGTGAGTGAGGCCCCAGACTGCCCTGTTCCTGCTGCCCCACATTTTCCCTCTAAGACCCCACATCCTACCTCCTGGTTCTGGTTCTTATTCTTTTTCCCCCCCCCCCGCTTCCTGCAGATAAAGACAGTCCCTTCTACTATGGTAAGAGCTGATCTCCCTCATCCCCACCCCCTACCTTTGCCTATCCTGGACCTCTTTGCTAGAGCTTGGTGAGGGCTAGTGAGAAAAGAGGGGCAGAATGGGGCTGGGACTGGGGATTACAGAGTCGGCATGGTCTGTGAAAAGAGCAAGAGGCCAATATGCAACACGGTCTTTGGGAGAACTTCATTCCAGCAAGGAGGGAAGATACCCACAGGATATTTAGGAAGATTTCTGGGGAAGGGGCTGGAGGCCATTGGGCCCCCGGGTATATCTCACCTAATCTTCCTTCCACTCTCTCACTTGCCTTCCCCAGCACCCGCTCCTTGTTGCTCGACAGCCCCCAGCAGCTTTTCTCTTCCTTTGCCTGGCACTGTCCTCCAGCGTCCCTACACAGCCCCCTTTCCCCCCAGCCTCAGCGCAAATGCCACCTTTCAGAAAAGCCTTCCTTGATCAAAAAGCCTTCCAACCCCCTTCTTTTTCTGTGCTCTTCTGCTTATTTTTTCTTCCTAGTGCTGTCCCACCAGCGATTATAGCGCGTATCTATTTACTGGCTTGTCTTTCTTGCTGCCTGAACTGTAAGTGCATCTGCACAAGCAGGTGATCATAAATATCTTTCGAGTGAGTGAGTGGGGCGGAGCCTGGCTGGTGCCCGCTCACTCTCTGCTCCCCCAGACTGGGAAAGCCTGCAGCTGGGCGGGATGATTTTTGGAGGGCTCCTGTGCATCGCTGGAATCCTGATAGCCCTGAGTGAGTGGTGGGTCTCGCAGGCCGGGCCCGGGGTAGGTGGTGGGGTGGCCCAGGCACCCCAGGTTCTTTGCACTGACCAGCTCTTCCTCCCACAGGTGGAAAATGCAAGTGCAAGTACAGTCAGAAGCACAGGTGAGACAGGGCCCCCACTGTATGCCCCAGGAGCAGAGCACACCTATTTGGGGATAAAGTCCTGCAATTTAGAGCAAGAGGACAGCCCCTTGGCTGCTCCATGGGCTTGCAGTGGGGTTTGTTATTCACTGATAATAGAAAGCTATAACCCTTGCTATTGTTTAAAGTGACAGGGGAAGAATAGCAAGCAAGTGTGCCCCCTGGGGAGGGAGCACCAGGCATCCTTTCGGGGGGATACAGGACAGAAGGTCTGGGGATGCTAATTTGATGTGTTCCCTTCTTAGCCCCTTACCTGAGAAGGCCATTCCACTCATCACTCCAGGTAAGAGGGGCTCCTTTGAGGGGCTTCCAGGCCCTCAGGCAGGGTGGCCATAGTATTTGAGCATTATTAAATGCCTTGTGTAATGCTTTCCTAAGCCAGCCCAGCCTTGGGGTTTCTGGAGGCTGAGGGGGTTGCCTTTGTAGTGACCATGTCTGTGAGGACCTGACTTCCATTCTCTCTTCAGGCTCTGCCAGTACCTGCTGAGCACAGGACCAGCTTCGTGGCACTCTTGGTACCAGCTCCCATACTGTTTTCTCCCCACCTGGGGGCCTTACCCTTCATGATGGCCTTTTTCCCCCAGGGTGGGCCCTTAAGTTCCCTTCTGATCAGGAGGCTGTCCAAAGCTTATTTCTAAATTAAACTGTCTCATCCCTCCCTCCAGTGTCTTGTGAGTGAGTCTTTCTGTAGGTCTGATCAGGGATGGGCAGGCTGGGCAGGGACTCCGACGTCTTGCTTGGGAATGCTCAGGCCCCTCAGTGGCTGGTGGCGAGGGGGTCCTGTGGATCGCTAATGCTTCTTGTGGCCACATGTCTGTCCTGAGGCCTATTCCCAGCATGCTCCCCACTTTGAAAACCTGATAATTGGTCTTCTGCCCCCTTGCCTCATCCATACCCCATGCAAGATACCTCAGTGTTATATCAAAGGACTTTACGATTTCCACACCTTGCGTAGAGACCCTAGAAGTCCCAGTGAGCCAGGTACCCATGACATTCTCTAACCTAGAATGATCCCCAGGGGCTCACCCTCCACTAAGAGGCCACCTCACTCAGTGAATGCTCTCTATCCTTCACACAGCTCAGGAAATGAAGCAATTCCTTTATTGACCCATCCCAGTAAAACCCTATATAACGCTCAGACAAACCCATGGACTCTCTGCCTAGCCTAGATAGTATCCTATAGGACCCTACTATGAGCCATATCCCAAGAAGCCTGCATCTTAGAACCAAAGACCATCCATACACATCTAGGTTCCCCAATATATCCAAAGTCCACTCCTGGAACACCTCACTTGAAAGGTCCCTACGTGTACAGGGTGGGGCTGGGGAATGGCCTCTCCCACCTCATTAGCTTGTCTGTCCTGCAGCCTTATCCTTTATGCCATCTTCTATAGTCCAGGACAGAAGGAACTAAGGTACCCTCACTCCAGCTCCTGTTCCCTGCGTCGACCCTGGCGTGGCAGCAGGCTGAAGCAACAGAGATCTCCCCTGTCCCTGCCAAACAGTGATGCCCAGTCTGGGGTGCACCAGATCTGCGCTGACGGGACAGCCATGTTGGTGCATCTAATGGTGCACTGCTCCAGACCCTCCCCCACTTCTCAGGGTGGGGCCGCATTCTGTGGAAATCGTGTGTCCTAGACTTCAGGCCCCAGACTTGTAGACTTGGGTTAGGAGGCCAGAGCAGGGGATCTGAAAGGTGAACCCTTCCTCCCATGGGTTGGCAGCTCATCCCAGGCCCTGAGGTCTCAAAATGAGATTCATAGGTCTGCTTAGGGCCCTTGAAACAGGACACATGAGGAGGTGGGGGAGGGGGTTCCAAGGCAGGACCAGAGCTGCAGCAAGAAGTCCAGGAACCTGAGTGAGACGTGAGACACCTGGCTGAAAGTACGGCACCCGTCTAAGTGGATGACTGAGGGTGGCAGGGAGCCATGGAGCTTGGTGGCTGGTGCCAAGCTTATCACCCACCCGGACTGATCCTATAAGGCCCTTAAGGCCCCAGGATTCTGAGCCGATGCATCCTGTGAAGAAGAAACGAGTGTGTTTCAGCAGCGGGCGTGCATGGGCAGCCATGGGTAATGTGATCGGGTTAAGAGATGACATCTGAGCTGAATCCTCAAAGGTGAATGATTATAGGAGCCCGCTGCACAGACACCTTTCCTGGGAGAGAGAATAGCACTTGAATTGGCCTTTTGAGGACCAGAGAAAAATCAGCATGAGTGGAACATCAGCGAGGAGATCAAGGAGGAAGCAGAAGCAGCCACTTCAGGGAGAAACCCTACCCCCTCCTGAGCTGGGAATTGGGGGCCCCCCCGGAGCCCCACAGGAGGCAGGAGCAGGAGGAAGGCAGGAGAGCACCGGGCGCAGAGCCCAGAAGTACCCTCCCCTGAGTCAGAGCCCCCTGGAAGCAGCTTCCAAACTTGCTTTTCTGTCCTGGGCACTGGGGTGCCTGTGCCTCTCCTCCTTGGACACAGGAGGACGCTGGTGGGTGAATGGATTGCATCTGAGAAGTAAAAATGAGCTCCACTTAGGAAAGCAAAGTCTGGCCGTTTGTCCGTGGGGCTGGAGTGGCAGACGCTGAAGTGACATTTGTCAGAATGCCACCTTCTGAGTGACCGAAAACTGCTTTTTTTTTTTAAAGTTGGTTTATTTAAGCAATCTCAAAAACCCATCGTGGGGCTCGAACTCAGCGGGAGATCAAGAATGGCATGCTCTACCCACTGAGCCAGTGAGGCACAGTGGGACCTAAGCCACTTTGACCCAAGATTCAGCGAGTCCAACCTGGGCGCCCATTCTGGTTAGAGGGTTTCTGGACACAACGTTCCACATCCATCTTAACGTTTCAGTTCCCTGGCTCCACTTTGCGGTGGACCGCAGTCCCGGTCCTCCTGTACCTTCAGCCTGCCAAACACGGCTTTTTTCCAATTTTGTCTGAACAACCTGCACAGTTCCCTCAAGTCCTGTAAGCAACCACTCTGGGGTGAAGGACCCCATGACCCCTATGCCCCCAACATGTGGGACTCCCTCATTGCCCGGCATCAGTGAGCCTTTGTCCAATTACAGGCTGGTACCTAGTAGTTTAGGCTGATACTGCCTGTCCAAGGCTGGGGCAAGGGGCTCTTGGAGGACATCCGGGGTCTGGATTAATCATGGGTAGAAGTCAGGGAATGTGATGGAAGGTAGGGGGCACCATGCAGGTCGGAGTCCATGTTAGCCTGTGAGTTTGGCAGCTGGGCCCTGGAGTTGGGCTGCTGATTCCCAAGAGAAACAAGTCCTGCCCCCACCCCCCCTTTCCTACTTCCCATTTCAACCGCCACCCCCTTGGTAGGGAGAGGGAAAGGTAGCCATAGGATGAGAGGAGTCTCTGCCCAGGCTTCCCTGTGTGGAAGAGTCCCCTTCCCTGGGCCTATTTCTTCTTGGAGGAGCGTGGCTTTACTCACAATTCCCTCCTTTTGCTGCCGCCTCCCAGAGAAAGTGTTGCCCAGGAAAGAATCTGAGAGCAAAGGGTAATTTCTACTCAATTGAACACTTAATATGTGAAGGTCACTATTAAAAACACTTCCTGTTAACTCAATTTTCCCAGCAGCTTATGAGATGGGAACTTTGTATTATTTCATCCGCGCACAGGAGGAGACCAAGGTTCTCAGAGGTTCTTGCAGGTCATCTTGCTCCTAAGCTGTTTCTGAAGGACTGGGCTACCTTGCCTTTCTGGTATTTATCACTATCTGAGAAAGAACCCAGTAACTGTGCCTGCTTGGAGACTATCTATATCCCTTCCCATTTATGTATGTATATATGTATGTACGTGTGTGTGTGTATATTTATTTTTTATGTAAGCTCTGTGCCCAACGTGGTGCTTCAACTCACGACCTGGAGATCAAGAGTTGCATGCTCCAGCTGCCTGCCTGGCTCAGCTAGAAGAGCATGAGACTCTTGATCTTGGAGTCATGAGTTTGAGCCCCAGGTTGGGTACTGAGATCACTTATATAAACTTAAAAAAAAAAAGTTTTATGCTCTACCCAGTAAGCCAGTCAGGCACCCCTTCCCTATTTTTAAATTTAAATAATCTGATTTTTTTAAATTAATTAATTAATTAATTTTAGGGAGAGAAAGAGAACAAGTGGGTGCAAGAGGGAGGGGCAGAGGGAGAGAACCTTCGAGGAGACTCCCTGTTGAAAGTGGAGCCCAGCTCGGGGCTTGATCCCACAACCCATGAGATCGTGACCTGAGCCGAAACAAAGAGTCGGACACTTAGCCAACTGAGCCATCCAGGCACCCCTATCTTATTTTTTTCTGATTGCAAACATCTTTCATGCTTATTACAGAAAAGTTGAACATTACAGAGATGTCTCACTTAGCTAAATCAGTTTTTAACCCAGCACGCAGAAATAATCAAGGTAAAACTTTGATGTAATACTCTATAACTGTTATATATAAATAACATTTATTTATATATATGGTTGTTACATGAATCGATAGTTCGTTACTTGGTATTGCTGAGTAGTCCTCTGAGAGCTTTTAAAATGAGGGCCTACTAGCTTAAGAAAAAGTTGTAAGTTTTATTCTAAGACTTGTGGCTTAAACCTTATGATATTTGTTTCCCAGAAGGTAGCAGCATCTTACCCTTTTTTTTTTAGGTTTTATTTTTAAGTAATCTCTACACCCAATGTGGGGCTCAAACTTGTACCCCTGAGATCAAGAGTCACATGCTCTACTGACTGAGCCAGCCAGGGGCCCCTTATCCTCAATTTTTGTGTAAAATGTGCTATAAGAAGTAAGGGCCAACAGCTAACACAAGGGAGCATGACTAGAGCCATCTGGGTGGATCACTGGTTAGGTCCTATGCCTGGCTCTGTAGAGGGATTTATTACTCAAGTCTCAACCCAGCCATCAGAGGAATATTCTTAAGGCAAGATCAGATCAACTCTGCTCAAAGTGAACCAAAGATACCCTATTTATCTTAAAGAAAAATCCCCTTAACATGGCCTATAGGCCCTACTTCTGACCGCAGGCCCTACAACATTCCATCTTCACCCACCCTCCTCTCCTACACTTGCCCTGCTCCTAGATGTTGTCTGAACACAGCATAGGCTCCAGCCTCAGCCCTAAGGCACTACACTTCCTTCCCTCTGCTGGCCATTGTCCCAATTCCCAGCATCCCTGCATTACCAATTCCCTTCCCTTAGGCCCTTGTTAGGAGGCCTCCTGGCCACTTACAGCTGCACCATCATTTGTCCTTCTCATCACTGTATCACTGTTTGCTGCTGCTTCTTCGTATTCAGTCCTAATTCTCATACTGTTGATTTTTTATTGATTTGTTATGGCCTCCCACCCCAACCAGAATGTACATTCGAATTGGTGCCTTCAGAATTTTGTTTGGTTCACAGTTTTGGCTCTTCTCGAATTGCCATTTTATGGTTTCCATTGAGTACATATTGGCCATTTTGAGCTTCTTGGGTTCTCAGGGTAATTTTTTAAAAATCTCACTGCATTCCTGCCACCATCCCCTCATAGATGGTAATAGCACATGGGTCTTACAGTTATCCTATGCCTCCGATATATGTACACAATATCTGTACCCTATCAAAAATATCCAGGCATAAAAGACAAACTGACACCAGACAACATAAACACAGTGAAGGAAGATGCAGATATTGGAATGA